ACTGCGGATGACAGCGGGGCTGGGAGCTGTGATGGATCACTCCATCCTCACACAGTGCTGGAACTGGAAGTAAGTCCTGCTTTTAACCCAGTAGAGGGATGGTTTGCCTAATCACATCACCACTATGATTGACTGTCTCAATGGTCACATGATTTGGAGCCAGTCCTACAAGCTTGCTAGCATTTCAAACCAAGAGCTGTCTCGGACAGCTCAGTCACTGTGCAGGCAGTGAGCACATTCTCAACACAGAAACCTCTGCCATCCATGGGTGCATATGTGCACATGTACTTTCTAACTGTTCATCATCAAATTTCACAGAAGAAGCTTGTCGTTCTACTTTATTATTTGACAGAATAATACTATTAATGGAAATAGATGTATCTGGCTGCTGGCTGTGTGTAGACTCCTTTCAACCTGCCACTATAAACAGTAAATGGGGCTGTATACAGAACCCCTGCTCACAATCCCCCGTTCCTCACTAGCAGCGGTAGTGAGATGATGGGCAATGCAGAAGGAGAAGAATGCAGCTGGTCTATCTCTCTTTGCAGCTTACAGGAAAGGTTCTGTGTAAATCCCTCAGTTCTCTTCTGCTCCTCCTGGCAATGAGCTAGAGCCAATCAGAGAGCAGGGAGCTTGAGCCAATTGGAACATACGAGAGATGAGACTTTCTGTGCAGCAGAGCATCATGGGAGATGTAGCCATAAAGGGGCACTGTGTAATGGAAGTAAATGGCTGCAAGAGCTACAGGAGTCCAAATCCCTGCACACAGAGGAGGAGAAAGCCAGGACTGTTTTCCAAAGCATGTCTAGACACTGGGAGGACTTTGGTGAAGGGAAGCAGAGCAGAGAAGACCTACTGTTGGACCTGCTAGTGCTGAACTAAAGAGACAGTCATGGAGAGTCTAGAATGGGGAGTTAGAGAGTAGAGACTGCAGCATCTTCAGGGCCAGAGAGACTGAGCCACCAGCACCTGATTTCAGAGGATCTCCATATGTTCTGGACTGGAGTGCTGTGTACCAGGAGAGCTGAACTGAGCTATCTGTCCTTGTCCCAATGCTGATAGAGACAGAGACTGCTCTTTAATCAAGCAATAGGAATATGCGAGCGCTTAATATAAAATAACAGCAGCTTGGACACTTAAAGGTACCACAGAACCCTTGGAGTAAATAGTATACAGAGAATAGTGCAGCGCTGTGTATAAAAAAGTAATGTAAATACCAAAATATTATGAATAAAGATGATATGAATAAAAAAATGAGTACAGACAATGGTGTGTTACCACATGTGAGTGGTTAAAGTCACTGAATTTCAGATTGTAAACTCTGAGTCCTATCAGGTCACGATTCAAGGATTGTAGTTCCCTCTATTTGGTAGTATGGAAAAATCGTAAAAATAAATGAATTAATTAATTGCGCACTCACCAGAAGTGCGTTATCAAAACGCATTTGAGATCATAATCGTCTCATCGGGTCAGTCAGGATAATCACTTCCAGGCGTAGTCAGGTTCCTTACAGCCTGCACCCTATGATTATGTGCTTCGCACAAAACGCGTCAGTGAAGGGGCTACAGCATCCTGATGTCCCTGCCGCTGTTTCGCGGCCATCTTTATACACATGGTCAGTTTCTTGATTTATCCTTTACTTGTATGATTTTTGTCTTTGTTGGAATAAAATTACCTCATTGAATGCAGTAGCATGCTATGTGGCATTATTCTTTGGTTGCCTGCGAGTCTCACCACTCGCAGAGACCAATTTAGAGGTGTCCTGAGATCGTGATACCATTGGAGGGGTCCTCAAAGACACAAGTGTGGGAACCTGACTACACCTGGAAGTGATTATCCTGACTGACCTGATGAGACGATTATGATCTCAAATGCGTTTGATAACGCACTTCTGGTGAGTGCGCAATTCATTCATTCATTTATTTTTGTGATTTTTCCATACTACCAGAGACTGCTCTTTATTTCATAGCCTACTAGCCATTTGTTACACACTTTTGAAGGGAAATCTTCATGTGCACCACCCACAGAAGAGCCCCACCAAAAGCCATCCAACAATAACAATTAAGCACCAGTACTTTATACCCACCTTCTGGGGTACCCCCTTTATTAGGCATATGTAAATCCACCAATTAAAGGGCTATAAGCGAGGGGTGCACTGAAGGACATTATCATTCTGTTAATTGGTTCTGATTCTGATTTTTACTGGTTATGCCAGTTAAAACTTGATTTAACAGTGCCGCAGTTCAGTTTAATCACCGTTATAGGTCAGTGTTCACTTTGCCTAGTTCTGCAGCTTTGAAAGTGCTCTATTTACCAATTTATGCCCTGTGTAACTGATCCTATATAATACAGTTAAACTACCAATAATAAAACTACTATCCAGCATGGTGGCTTACTTTCTGTGTGTTGATATAGAGTGTAGGCATACTAATGCTCAGGTCACACAGGTGTGAGTAAGTCTCAAATCACAACCAGTAGTGTCAGTGCAGTTTACTGACTTGTGGCAGAACAGAGTACCCGTCATTGGGTCCTGCGTTGGTAAACGCTACACAGAAGATATTTTAAACCTGACAGAAAATCTAACTTTTCTGTGCTTTATATAAAAACATCTACTTGCTTATTATATAACTGACAATGTAATAACATGTACTCTGGCACAAAAGCCAGCCACCTCTGAAATCTGTGAAAGCAAGGCACTGGACAAAAAAAGAACCACAATAATGGAGCTTAATAGGCGTCTGCTACACTTCATCCGTTCAAATTAAACTCAGCATGGTGTATTCATATTAAAAGCACTGTATAGAAAAAGTAACAGTGGAAGCACGACTGTAATCAGAAAATACATTTTGCGGTTATACTATTGACTTTATTATTTGATACAAAAACTTTACCTAGTACGGAATATTTGAGGTAATCCATTCTTCTGTGGTTTATGTTATTAATGTGTATGTTAGACAAAGTAGTGTATTCATGTATCACATCAGTCATTAAATCCTATAAAAATAATACACGCATTATTGTCCGCTAATGACTTTCTGATTTAAAGCTGTGTGGAATATATTTACATTAGATGAGAACAGTGAAAAATAAATTCATTCTAGAGTGAACTGAAACTAATTTGACTTCAGTCCCCAAGGAAAGGTGAATCAATAAGATAGAAAACCTTGGTTAGAGTTAGCGGAACTTAATGGGATAGAAAAACATTGATATTAATTCTAGAAAATGATGCAGAGTTTTAGTAATTAGGAGCTGAGGAGCTAAGACTACAATGTTCAATGTGTTCAAAAATACATAAATACATTTTATCCTTAAAGTGAGTCTGTGGCAAGGGTGTGAGCATTCAAGTAGTGAATAGACTACAATACAAGCCCTCAGTGTCCTCAGTATCTGCAGACAATGTGGAACAGTTCATTGTCAAATTTCACAGCAGAAGCACTGCAGAACTTCACGTAATTCTGTCAGCACTCCAGATTGCCCTGCTCCCCACTCTCATGCAGCTCAGCTCTCTCTGTTTCCCCTCCCAGCAGTGACTCAGCAGCTCAGATCTCACTCCTCCTTCTTTCTGGAACTAACAGTTAGCTCACTTCCCTTCCTCCCCTTCCCCCTCCTTGCAGCGATTGCTGCGGAGCTCTCACTCCTCCTGCCTCTCTGCACTGAGTCTGAAGCTCAGCTCACTCTGTTTCCTCTCCCTGCAGTATTTATTTTTATTTTATTTATTTCAGGTACTTATATAGCACCGTCAATTTACGCAGCACTTTACATACATATGTTGTACATTCACATCAGTCCCTAACCCTCAAGGGGCGTACAATCTAAAGTCCCTAACTCACATTCATACATATACATACTAGGGCCAATTTAGACAGGAGCCAATTAACCTACCAGTATGTTTTTGGAGTGTGTGGGAGGAAACTGGAGTACCTGGAGGAAACCCACGCAGTCACAGGGAGAACATGCAAACTCTAGGCAGGTGGTGCTGGGGTTGTAACTCAGAAGCTCAGCTTTCACCCTGCTTCCTCCCAGCAGTGACTCGGGAGATCAGCTACTCCTGTTCCCCCTCCCTGCAATGATTCAGCAGTTCAGCTCCCACTCCTACCCCCTCTCAGCATTTTATCCTTAGTGAAGCTGTGGCAAAAAGTGAGAACATTCAAGTAGTGAATGAACTTCAAAACAAGCCATCAGTGACCTCTGCAACTGCAGGTACTGTGGAACAGTTCTTCATCAAATTTCACATAAGAAGCACTGTAAAACTTCAAGTCATTCTTTCAGCAGCCCAGCTTCCTCTGTTCCTCCTCGCCACCATGACTCTGCAGCTGTGCATTCACATTAAAGCCCAACTCCAGGAAAATGTACAATTAACAGGCACAGCTCCACTGCAAGGGTTAATTGATTGTTTTGTCTAGGGGAAAGGAGAAACACTTTTACTTACCTGATCCTCCCCTCCACGGCAGATGGCACTCCCCCACGCTCAGTGGACTGTCCCTCATCGTTTACACATCCAATGAAGAGCTATGGATCCTAGACTGCTGGAGCAGAGAGAAGATGATGTGGGGACCAGTCTAGTAGTGGGTAGGAGCAGAGAATTGGGTAAGTAAATCTTCTTTTATTGTTCCCCTAGACCTAAATGAGAAATTAACTCTCATAGTGTGGACACAGCCTCACTGCAAAGGATAATTTTTTGCCTTACATTGGGCTTTAGGCCCCATTTACATCTGGAACTTGGGTTCCCGCACACTTTTTTGTGTGTTTTTTTCATTTACTAATGCGTGTTCCACATGGGGCAGCCCATTCACTTAAATGACAACACATGCCCCAAAGAAGCTCCTGCGCTTTATTTGGAGTGAAGTGTGTTCTTTTTTCTTCTGCACTTTTGTCGCACAACAAAACATGCAAAGCAAGCGCAAGGCACATTTTAAGCACGTTTCCAGAACGCGCAACAAAGCGCACATTTTCTGTGTGATTTGCAACCCAATGGGAAATGTGGAGATGTGAACAGGGCCCAGGGGTGGGCTGGCAATTTGGAAAACTCGGGCACTGCCTGAGGGCCCGGGGTCAGTAGGGGGCCCCATGAGATGCCCCGGTACCTTTTTCATAGGCTTTTTTGAGTTTGGGCAAGGACACACGGGCCCCATGGTCCCCTATTGCCCGGGGGCCCCATGAGTTGTCAGTCCGCCCCTGACAGGGCCTTAAGGATTACAAAGGTGAAAGAATGCTGAGTCACTGCTGGGATAGAGGTGGTAAGGGGGGGGGGTAGCATGAACTGGAGAAAGGGAAGCTGAGCTAAGTCAATGTTGGGTATTTCCTATGTACCTTAATAAAAGTAAAAAGAAAAATATATATTTTCAAGTTCTGACCATAATAAATAAAAAAGAAAATATGTTGACAACCATTATACATTTCCTATCAATGAGCATTCATTGATTACAATGTACATGAAGCAGTGTTGAGGGCCAGGAAAGTTTGTAGCTCACTGCCTTGATGTTATACGGATTGTGACTTCAACATTTAAAGCAGAGTTCCACCCAAAAGGAGAAGTTCCACTTTAAAGATTGGTCCCCCGCTCCTCATTAAGGATTGGCACCTTTGGGGAGTGGGGGGGGGGGGAATGGGTACCTGAACTTGACAGGTATCGGCTCCCACTTCCGCTGCGATCACCTAGGAAAGTTGTCCTCCTACCCTCCCTCCCCGAAGTCTTGTGGGGCATGTGACAGGTCCCAGAAGATGAAGACCATTCAGGAAGAGCAGCTCTACTCGCACATGTGCAGTGGGCACCCGGCTGTGAAGCCGCAAGCTGTCACAGCCGGGTACCCACACTAAAGATGCCAGCGCCTGGAATACAGGATGGCTGGTGAAACGGGCGGGGGCAACGCGGGATCGTGGGACATGTGAGTGGCTGTTTTTTAAAAGTCAGCAGCTACAGTTTTTGTAGCTGCTGACTTTTATTTTTCACAGAGTGAGTGGAACTCCGCTTTAAAGAATATGTAAACCCAACTTATTATATTCCTGATATGTGCCTGCTGCACCATGTAATAAAAAGTATCCAGTTCTCTTTATATTGCTTCCCTGGTGTTCCTGGTGTCCCTCTGCTTTCCTATTAAAAAACTGACCACATTAAGCATGATAACACAGCATGGTCAGTTTTATGACTGTGCTGGGAGCTAATCTAATGATCAAGTTTGTGCTAACACGCCTCCCCTTTCCCATCCTTTCTTGCACAGCCATTCAATAGGAAGTGGTGTGCTGCTGTTTCTCTCCTCCCCACCTCTCTAAACTCATTATGCAGCTGAGAACAGAGGGAATATGACCAAAGGGAAAACTGGTATTTAGAATGTTTTTTTTTATATCTATACCCAAATGTTTTACCTTTCATTTCTATTTTACACTGAATGGGTTGTATTACAAGGTGAGGGTTTACATATACTTTAAGGCACTGACCTTGAACCAATAGATCTCTGACCACACCCTGATATTTTGATCTGTGTGTTTGTTGTAGTTCACTGACAGAGAAAATACTGAAGCCATTTTCTGTGAGAGGTCTTGTTAATGTGGAACTAAACTCCCCCAATTGATATTAACTATTTTTTAAAGCAGTAGTAAATTCTACTAAAAAAAATATTAGCACATTATATGAAACTTACCTTAAAACGAAGACTTCCAGCTTCGTGTTTTCCCCACTAATAGGGCTTCCATCTTCGCTCTGTCTTCCTTCTGGGCTCTGGCAGCTTGAATGGCCAAGCTGCGATGACGTCACTCCAGGGGCGGACTGACAACTCATGGGGCCCCTGGGCAATAGGGGATCATGGGGCCCCTGTGTCCTTGCCCAAACTCAAAAAAGCCTATGAAAAAGGTACCAGGGGCATTTCATGGGGCCCCCTACTGACCCCGGCCCTCGGGCAGTGCCAGAGCTTCCAAATGGTCAGTCGCCCCTGCATCACTCCCATGCATGCATGCGGCAGTCACTTTTAACAGAACACAGCACTGAAGGAATGGCAGGGGCATGCTGTTCCTTCAGAGTGCATGCATCGGTGCACTACACAGGTAAATATCTTCTAAATGGTGCATGTTTAGGAGATATTTACAGTATCTACCAGTAAGCGTTAGTATTTATTTATTTCAGGTACTTATATAACACTGTCAATTTTACACAGCACTTTTACTTTTTACATATATATTGTACATTCACATCAGTCCCTAACCATCAAGGGGTGTACAATCTAAGGTCCCTAACTTACATTCATACATATTAGGGTCAATTTAGACAGGAGGCAATTAACCTACCAGCATGTCTTTGGAATGTCAGAAGAAACTGGAGTACCTGGAGGAAACCCACACAGACACAGGGAGAACATGCAAACTCCAGGCAGGTGGTGCCGTGGTTGGGATTCAAACCAATGACCCTAGTCAGAGGCGTTCCTAGGGTTGGTGTCACCCGGTGCAGTCCGACAATCCCCGGAGAATGGACTCCAATCCATTATGTTCAATCCGCAGATCCGATCCATCCTGCGGGGATCGTCGGCTTTCTTTACAACTTACCTTTTCTTGGAGCAGGTCCGGGACGACTGCGCATGTTCCAGTTTCAGGCACGATCAATCGATGATAGCAGTAGTTCTATCATCCGTTGATCGTGCCTGAAACCGGGACATGCGCAGTTGCTTCAGAGGGACATATTTACATGGGAGATTATCGACTTTCATTACAACTTACCTTTTTGTGGAGTGGGTCCGGTGTCACCCCGTGCGGTCGGTGTCACTCGGTGCGGACCGCACCCCCCGCACCTGCCTCGGGAAGCTTCACTGACCCTAGTACTGCCAGGCAGAAGTGCTAACCATTTAGCCACTGTGCTGCCTTTAGTATAGGTTTAGAGTTTATTGCCACTTTAATAATGGTGCTACTAGCATTCAAAACTAGATAGGAAGGTATATTATATTTACTTGTTTTAAACTGTTTTAAATATCTTCAGTTGCTTCCTGGTTTATGGCCTAGGAAAATGATGCCATATATCCCAGGAGTCTTCATACTTTTTTTCTTCTTTCATCTGGAGGAGAGGTTTTCTCAGATAAGGACACCCTCCTGCTTGTATGCCTGAGCTAAGGGCAGATGGATTCCAGGAAGTAAATGTTACATGAATCACTTGCCCTTACTCAAGATGGCTGCAGCTAGAAATAGCAAGGGGGTGTTTTTAAAAGTGATTTCTCAACAAAATAAAGCATGAAGACAAGGATGGATTGGGGGGGGTGCTTTAAATTTCAAACATTTTCTGGTGCTAACATAAAGTTAAGTTCTGCTTTTAGCAGTTCTTCCATTCTGTAAATGTATTAAAATCTACTTTGCGATTGCAAAAGATCTGAGCTTTGGATGGATGTGGTTAATCATTGCTTTAATAAAAACTTCACATTTTTCAGACAGATGGGAAAGATTATTCAGGAAACAAATGAAGATTTTGGTTTGTCCTCATTATAAAAAAAAAAAAAAAAAACCTTCTTGGTTAAACTTCAGCAAATGAATGCTATTTTGTAAATTGAATCTCATGACCTCACTCTGAAAAAAGACAACTGTCCTTTTTTAGATGTCTGTATGGGTGCTATTAAGATTGCTTTTTTGTAACCTTTGTCAACGGTATAACTCATGCTAACTAAAAATTGATGAGCTCATTTATTAAGCGTGGGCTAATTGAACTCTTTCTCCTTTGTTCTTGCGTTGTCTCTGTACATTTTGTCATTCAAAATTGTTCTTTTGATTAGCTTATAATCGTAACAATTTCATTTTGCAAAGCAGGATGTCATGAAGATGAATTATATAATATCTACAAGTGTAAAACCTATTTAATAAAATATTTTCTCCAATGTAGAATTCAAGGCTTTAGTTTAGGGCTTTCTGGCAGAACCTTGTTTAGAAAACATTTTAACTGCAGTAAATGGTTTTGTGGTGTTGTTTATGTTCCATCTCAATCTCAGTTGTTCCTCAGTAAATGACAATCACCAATCTGCTCTATGCTTGTAGGCAGGTGTTTGGGCTGCAGTATATCAATCGACCTGAAGGTGGCACTGTGTCGTTTCTTCAGGCCGGCAGGAGATCATTGAGGACTAGCTTGTCTCCTGCTGTGGACTCCAGGCAGCCATGTTGGGGAGAACAACATATCTTATTGAATAGCAAAATCCAGTGGTATTTGGGTGTCCATCTTCAGGCCGGCAAGAGATCATTGAGGACTAACTTGTCTCCTGCTGTGGGCTCCAGGCAGCCATGTTGGGGAGAACAACATATCTTATTGAATAGCAAAATCCAGTGGGATTTGGGTGTCCATCTTCAGGCCAGCTAGAGATCATTGAGGACTAGCTTGTCTCCTGCTGTGGGCTCCAGGAAGCCATGTTGGGGAGAACAACATATCTTATTGAATAGCAAAATCCAGTGGGATTTGGGTGTCCATCTTCAGGCCGGAGAGAGAGAGTCATTGAGGACTAACTTGTCTCCTGCTGTGGGCTCCAGGCAGCCATGTTGGGAGAGAACAACATATCTTATTGAATAGCAAAATCCAGTGGGATTTGGGTGGCCATCTTCAGGCAGGAGAGAGATCATTGAGGACTAACTTGTCTCCTGCTGTGGACTCCAGGCAGCCATGTTGGGTAGAACAACATATCTTATTGAATAGCAAAATCCAGTGGGATTTGGGTGTCCATCTTCAGGCCAGCGAGAATCATTGAGGACTAGCTTGTCTCCTGCTGTGGGCTCCAGGAAGCAATGTTGGGGAGAACAACATATCTTATTGAATAGCAAAATCCAGTGGGATTTGGGTGGCCATTTTGACAGAGAATTCCTTAAATAGGAGATTCTGTATCATTGTGTGTGCCCACAATAAGGGAGTAAGATAGGGACAAGACCCCCGCTGGTAAGGGAAAGAGTGGAAATATTATTAGAGAAATGTACTTGTCAAGGAGGGAAAGAATAGGTTTCCCATAACAGGGTGTTTCCTTTATCTTTCACTGGCAGCCAGATGTCTGAAGGGACTTTTGGTGATCTCAAAACCCTTCCAAGGGAAGTTCTCTACTGCGTAGGCCCCACTTACGTACAGAATAAACTTCAAAGCATTTCCTAAAGCTGGTCATGCAGTGGAAGATTTTTGTACAAATGTTCATATGAAAAATTTCATCCGTGCATTTGATAAAGCCATCAGAGACTTGATGAAGGTTATTTGAAAGTACTTTTGTTTTTTTCCATTTTCTTTGCTTCTTAACATTCAATTTGTGAAAGAAATTGGATTTCCTGAATGAAAACCACATTCACTGTTAGAATTTTGTGTTTCAGAAAAAAAATTTCATTAGGCGCCTTCAATTTTTTTTTTTTTTGTCACTATGGATGAAAACGATTGACTATTTGACCCCCATTAACTATTAGAAAATTGAACAAATGTTTTGAAGTCAAGTTTCTTTCATTTCCAATAATTTTTTATTGATTTTCCAATAAAGTACAAAAATCATCCCATAAACATGTGGGATGGAGAAAATACAGTTACAAGTGCAGACACATCTAGGCACATATCTGTGTAAAGGACAAATAAAAATATAACAATATCACCAAACGTTATGGAAGGTCCTAAATGCTGGAGTGTACCTCTGGTGTGCTTGGCTAGCCAAGTTGAGCATGGTAGAAGAAAAACCAGGGAAACAAGTGACTTCGCTGCTGTGCCTTTGAGAGGTTTACTATAGCCAAAATACACTCAGGGAGGCTCTGGTGGTGCGCAACAGGTCTACCTCTTGGACACCCCTATAATATCACCTGTTGCTCGCAATGAGACAAATTATAGTGGATGTGCGTCATATAGCAAGTGAAGTAAAGATCATCCCCTAATAAAGGGGAAGACTGAAATAAAAAAATAGGAAGAACTAAGAAGGAAAGCAACAGAATAGAAAAGAGAAAGAAGGTGCTCATTCATCTAAAACCAAGTATGAGTATGCTATCCGGGACATGGGGAATCCTTTAGATATCTGATCCATGAGTCCCAAGCTTTCTCGAAGAGGGCCAGTTTTCATGTAGGATCGTTGAGAGGTGTACATTTGTCATGATCCAAGTCAACTTGGTCTTCAGAAGATGAAACAGGATCACAGGAGACTTCCACGATCTTGCAATTGAAGCTTTCTCGAAGAGGGCCAGTTTTCATGGAGGATCGCTGATAGGTGTACATTTGTCATGATCCAAGTCAACTTGGTCTTCAGAAGATGAAACAGGATCACAGGAGGATTCCACAATCTTGCAATTGAGATTCTAGCTGCAGTAAAGATAAGGTTAGTAACTTTGTCTCACATGTCTCGGTGTCCTTTCCTGGACTTCCCAGTAGGGCCTGTTGTGGATTTTTAATGAGGTTCACCTGGGTGAGAGAGTATACAAAATGATAAATATGTATCCAAAACCACCTGACTTTTGGGCATGTCCACCATTTCTGGAGCACTGTTCCCTCTTGACCACAGCCCCTAAAGCAAAGGGGAGAAGTATCCGGAACACAGGACGCTATATTCACCAGTACCATATAACATCTTAAGAAGACCTTGAAGTCAGATTTCTTTCAAAACTCTGCCCTTGTATGGCCAGCTTAAAGAGTAACTCCACTTTTGTTGAAAAAAAAAGCATTCCTCTATGGGTGATCTATGTACATTGCAGGTATTTTAACAAACTTTGTTGCAGATTCCTACCTTTTGTTATTCTGAAGAGATAGCTCTTTGTTTGTCTGTCTCCATGTTCAAAATGAATGCAAATGGGAGTGATTTTATAATTATTAATCAGCTGTTGCACTTACAGGGTTGAAAGTGGCAGGGTCTGCATCTCTTTAGACGTGATTTGATAGTGTATCACAAAAAAAATGACATTTTTGTTGCAGAGAATGCTCAAAAGCTGACTTCTGTCTCAGTGCAGACTTCTGGGAAAATCAGTAAGCCAATCACAAAAGCAGGAACTGGCATTTTCTAGGGGGAATGCCTCCAG